TTAGTTAATTGAAATTTTGAGAACTCTAAGTAAATAGAAAGTCCAAAAAGGCCACCAATTCAAAATTTTGAGAGATGCAAAGTTATTATTTGTATTTCAAACTAATTCAGTTACTATGTTATATTTATTTGTGTAGATTTATTTCAAATAAATTTAATAATAGCAGACGGCTAATGTGGTGGATTATAAATATAATTTTAGTTCACATGACCATATGAGTTTACAGTACTTCGGGGAATTTAGTAAAGTACCACTGCTTATGCAGTTCGGACGCACTAATAGTTCGATTCATATTCATAAACCAAGAGGCTTTAAGGGATTTTGAAACCATTTCCAATGCAATTTCGAAGTCATTTAAAGTAAATCTAATAAAAATACAATAATTGCTTGCAAATAAGCGCCAGCGAAACAAATTAAAGAATTTTCATTTAAATAACAATAACGACAGTTTTCTGTTAAATTGCAGAGATGAATCATAAAAATTTTATTGTAATGAGAGGGAAATACAATAATGAAATTTTATTAAAATTTTTTAAAACAATAAAAATTATAATATTAACTTCACAGTTTTCTTCTTTAAGTTTTGACCTTAACTGCCTTTATTGTTTAACAAAATAATTTGTTTTGTATTTCCCAGCTTTTCTTTTAATAAAGGATTCTTTTTCTTCTTTCAAAATTTTAAAATTCTGTCAACTTTTTTCTACTTCCGTCATGTATTTCGCTTTCTTTTAAGGATAGAAAAACGTTGTCATCGTCTTTCGTGGTCATCATCATTTTACCATACTTGGAAAAAATGTTATGAGAAGGAAGCTAAAGGAACAAGCAGTGAGCGTTTATGTCCCCTTGAGATTTGCATAGCAAAGTGAGACTCAAATCCTTCCATTCCACAACCTCCAACCCAATCCAAAACACTGCAAAATGCGAATCCTTAAAAGTGTACGCAAATGCATTTAATTTAATTGAATTTCATGGATTTTGTGGCGAATAGTTTTCAATGGAAATAAGAGCAAAATTCTATTAAATCACTTTGGGGACCTGCCGTACGATGTTTTACAAGCTTTTCAAATTGTTACCATGACTATTAGCTCTAATTATTTCGTACATGAGAACAATAGGATAACAAGATAAATATAAATTATGAGGTAGAAAAATAATTTGTCATTAATTTATTAACGAACTTGAATTTAATTGTGTCATTGTTATTAATGGAGACGCAATGGTATGAGGTCTAATTGAATAAAGATAGAGCGACGTACCATATATATAAATTTATTTTTATGCAAATAAGCTTAATACATTATATAAAATAAATTTTAAAGATCCTTCCTAACGGAGGGGCAAGGGTTTCATTTCCAGTATACGACGTTTCTGTGTCAATTCGTTAATTTGGCGATCTTTTTTTTGCGAGCTTTATGTTTTACACTTCTACCATAAGACAACATTTGGCCAAATAAACGTACATATATATTAAAGACATATATCCACAACCACTTTGTGATTTAACGTCTTACGCACCACGTTTGTTAATTATAAAGAAGTACCAATTTTATTATAGTGTTAAAATTTTGATTTATATCCAGTTCAAATCCAGTACGTTCCCAGGGGAACATTGGGGCATGTGGTTGCAGTTGTACCTATCGCATTGATTCTGTTTGATTTCTGATTCTGCGCTTAGCTTCATTACTCCTCATTCGACCTTACCGGCGAGGGAGGCCCTACCAGTAGCAAGCTACCGTCGGCATCGCTCGAAGATTCTTCGTAACTACTTAACCTCCTCACCACGTCAAGGTGGCAATCCCCGAGGTGACATATTCATATAAAATAATAAAACGGTGTCAAAGTTTTGGTTCTACTGCTGATAAAAATTTTAAATATTATATTTGACAATCCCGGTATTTATTAAACTGCTTATATATTAGTGAGTTAATGTTTATCAATAGTTTTACCAACGAGTAAGCTTATCTAATCTTCCAATTATATGGAACCTGATCGATTTTGTAAGAGGTGATGTTTACAAGACTTTCTCTTTAACACAACATTAGCTTTAGCTTTTATAGAGTAAATTAAATTACTCTAAATTAATAAAGGTAGTGATTTGTTCCTTAACTTGTCATGAATGACAATAAACGCAAATAGTAATATGACGGTAGATTCGTAAAGCACCCGAATTTTGCATTTTCGAGAACCTCAGACTACAAGATTGTAGTATAAAATCGTGAAAAAACAACAAATTATCTCCCTCCGTTTGAGTTTGTAGCTAAAATATGTGTTATATATGCTATATAAACGCCAATAAAAAAATCTATATATAACAATAAAAACAAAAAATAAATATTTTTCCTCTTCTATGCTTAAATTGTCATTTGTTGGTACTTTCTATAGATTTTACAATTTATTAAAGTTGAAAACAAAACCTTTTATACACATTATTTTAGATTCAAATCATTTGTATGTGTATTTAAAAGGGTAATGTACAACATATTCATTTGTGTCGTATTATTCTTCAAACAATGACAATCCACTAAACTATGATATGTCTCCAACCTAGCTGCATAATTACTTTTCTAAATAAAGAATATAAAGGGACTTTTCTTGGTTTTGCATTTGAAATTTATTCCATAAAGAAAAAAAAACATAGGAAAAAGGACTCCACCACTAAAATTTGAATAATATAAGTCGTTTTTAAATTTTATATTTCCATCTTCAATTTTGTTGTATAAAAAAAAATTCATTTAAATATTAAAATTAAAGTTTTGAGAATTTTTGAATATACATTTAATGTTAGTCATACTGACTTATTTAACATTTATAAAAGGAATATATATATTTATTTATTATAGAAGTAATGTACAATATTATTTAATCGATAATAGTCCATTGAACAACATACCATAAGGAAACAGAAAACATAGAAAATATAAAAAACAGAAAAAAAATATAAATAATAGTTTTATGTTAATTTTATGTGCTTTAAACAAAGATATCCATTCTAAATGAATAAATCTATTGCTGCTTTTATAATGGGAGCCCCTCAGAACTACAAAGATAACAGCTCTTCATGCTCCTCATTCGAAATATTCCTTTAGTATAACTTTTTGGTTTCTAAATTGCTGACAAACATAATTTTATCAAGAAATAAATGCATTCAAATCAGAGCCATTCTTCATTTACTGAAGAGCTTCACATATAACCATTATGAGCACTTCCGTGAAATATTGACTACTTCATTCCAATGACGTTGGTGGTGGTTCCAATAGAGGTGTTGGTATATTCTTGACGATTTTAAATAGGTCAATTACCATCAGACTTTTATATACTGTTAAGCAGTAGTATACCGATCCATATGTGTATTGACGGTGTGGAACTGGAAAAAAAATAAGGAAAGTTGGTATATTCTCAGATACATTAAATAGATAATTTAGCTTTTGATTTCCGAAATTGAAGTCAACGCCTTCATTTCATAATGTGTTACGAAGTAATACAATGTCTATATTATAGTCAAGTTAAAGACCATAATATCTATATATATAGACATCCATATATCAAAAAATAAAAAAAAAATCCATCAAAAAATAGATTGATATAATCAAATTGCCATTGCATTAACAATAACGAGAAGATAACAACCGGGTTAGTATCGTTTTATCACTCAAAAGAGTAAAAGTGTTACAAATTCACCTAATTTCGATTCCAGTATAATCTGATATGGCTAGAAATTGAAAAGTCTATGAGATGCTAAGAAGCAGTACTACGCAATCGACATATTATAAAATGAAAGGATCATCGTATCTTCTCTAAGAAACCTTATAAAACAAAAAATAATTGACAAAATAGAGAATTCCTGGGAGATAGTAAAAATCGTATTTTCTCTAAAAAACCTTTTAAAACAAAAAATTATTGACAAAATAGAGAATTCCTGAGAGATGGTAAAAATTCCCTATATATCTGACCTAAAATATTTCCAAAGTAACTAAAACGCCACTGATTTAAATAAGAAGTAGTGTTAATTTGCTTATATTCGTCACTATGGGTCATATTTTGATAAGTACAAACACGATTATATTGGATAACCCTCAGCAGGACTTTTGATGAAGATATCAGAATAAAAGCATTGAGAAAAGAATTGAACATTTATTATTACACTGTCCGTTTCTCTTTAGACATGAAATTAACTACTTAGAAAATTTCATCCTTAGGGAATAAACGGCACTTGACACGGTTGACTATATAAAACTATTAAGGTTTGTTACTGAAACTGGATGATTCAAAAGAAGGTGATGAGAAGATAAAAGCTATGCGTATGGTATAATGTAAGATACTTCTTGTACGTTAGACATTGCTGAAATTTCTAGAGTAAAAATTAAATGTCTTTCATATATAATATATTAGGAATTTTCGTTTTTTTTGTTGCTTGTTTTTCATTTTAAATTTTATTAATAAACTGTAACTTTTTTATTTTTTTGGTGCAAATACAAATTTTTATTTAATAAATTAAATTAAATTTACATTTCTTTTTCCTATGACTTTTAATTCAAAATCTTTCTAAGTGGTGTTTATTTGTTAAATGGTATACTGTGATTTTAGTTTGAATTTATAAGGCCATTTTGTCGTTATCACTTTTGAGCCATACTTTCATTTATACAATTTTAACTAAGTTTTGTAAATCCCAACTGCATTTCAATGCAAATTTAGCATAAAAATATACTTAAAACTTATCCTTAGAACTGAAACGATATCAGCTAGAATCTAGGTTCACGTGCAACAGTTACAATTGTTATTTTTGTAACTTTAAACTTTAAAGTAACTGAATATGTCTTATTTAGTAATTTTTTTATCAACAATTTAAAAAATTATAATTAAAATAAAACATCTTGATTCAAATACATATTTTAAGTAAATAAAAACTTAACTCTAATGGGTGTAATGTAAATATGATCAATTATTATCTCTATATGTGAGTACAAACTATAGAACTTTCAAAGAAATAACTCTACATAAGCTTATGGTGAATCATTAACTTCGTTCTTTTTATCAATATATTTTTTGTAAGAAATTTCCATAATAAAAATAATTAAAACTAACGTATAACTGCAGAGTAGCAGAAAAAATAAAGGTGCAGTATATTCCAAACCCACATCGATTACAAAATTACTAGCAAAACAATTGAGTTGTGTGCGAAACCAATATCGTTGCAATTTAATCGAAACACCAGTCTCCAATAATCGTACATGTCTACAAAAAAAATGGTTGATACCCAGTGATAAAACATTTTCAAGTCAGTTAAGTATTCAAAAAATCTTACGTTAATCTCAACAACTCCTTATAAGTAGAATTCTTATTAGTTTGGATATATATATTCTTATCAGGTCTCAGCTTAATTTCATTAAGGTCACAAATTTCATGAGGCTCAAAAAATTGCTCCACCAGTGCAAAAGCCGATGATGCCTCAAAAATATATACGAAACCAGGTTTATCGCGTACTAATTTAATACCTTCTTCAACAGGCAAATAAAGTTTTGGAGAATTCTTCTTTGGTTCAACTTTCCGTTTAACAAAACGAAGTACCTCTGGTAATCGTGAAGTCTAAATAATATAAAACCATTATTATAAATAATTATAAATACAATATGTTATAGGAGAACAAATTTTCACAAAGAATGTGGATCACAAAATAAAGTGCTCAAACATAAACTTGGAAAAGATTAAGATTTCTCTAGATGCAGCTGTTTCTATTAACAAATACTTATATATATACAACTAATAAGTGCTTAGTTGCGTTCACTTACATTTAAATAAACTTTTGTGTATGGTAAAGGTTCTATGCCAACATCTAAATTACTGTCGGCTAATTTCCCCAAAGTGTCAATATCCGATTTCATCGGCGAACCTAATAAAATAGATACCACAATTGATGTATAATAATTGTACATGAAAAACGATATAAGCGATAATGAGAAAAAAACCATGCGTCCACCAGTTGAGCTAGGAATTAAAAAGCTACCCTGTGAGCAAGCCGATCCAAATGATATTAAGCAAGTAGTTAACATAGAAGGTACATAACTTAAACATAATTTCAGTCGATGATACTCCAAAAAGAAAGTAGCCCATAAAAGTAGACCACTAATAATCAAAATTATTCCAAAGATACACCAAACAGTAGTACTAAAAGGTGCAAGGAAAACGTCACCTTTTATACCCGCATTTCGTGGAGTACGAAACATACAAATTGTGAGAAAGCCTCCTGAATCTGTAATTGAAGTAAGATATTTAAGACGATTAGCGATCATAAGAAAGGGTGTTGAAGTTAGATCTGCCTCGTCCATAATTAGAGCACCAACCATTCCACCAAAACATTCACTCTTAGTCCAACTATCATGAAAGGTATAATTCATGCTGTAAAAATGAATGCAAAAATAATAAAAATAAATACAATAAGAAATATTTATTATTTAATATAACAATATTTATCGAACTTGTATAAAAACTAAGTCTAGGGGTTATATTTTTTCTTACCCACATTTCAGTACATCTTTTACAACCTGCAGTAAGTGAAAACCATATCGTGCTATAGAATCTACCTGAGGATCATTGTCTGATAATAAAAACCTCTGTAATTCTGACTCTGGTAGAGTTATTGGAATTCTGGCAACCTACATTTAGATTTACGTTATGATTACTTTGATATATTATAGTATATGTTTTTAAAGAAGAAGAATTAACACTTACAACTGTAGATACACGTAATGTTACATCTCTTATTGCATTTCTATTACCATATTTTGGTCGCAAGTGTAATTTTGAATAATATTGCCTCAATTCACACTTAGTTTTATTGCATACAATCTCCTGATCCTGTGTCATATTTAACTTCCCACCCAAAATACGACCATTATTATAAACATCATAAATTATATAGGATGTGTTCTGAACATTTGTTCCATGCTCGTTGAAGATAGCGTACGTCACATCCGCATTAACGGAGAGATTCATTTGCTCAAATAAATGTTGAAAATTACTTACATTGGCTTGATGGTCATAAAGAAACCAATGAAAATGATCAGTAAAAAGTTTTTGAAGACTTGTCTATAGCAAAAGTAATGCAATATTTAGAACTTTGGATAATATAAACCTCTCTAATGTAAAAAGCTATATAACATAAAATCATGCCATAATTGTATTGTATATTACAAGGTTCTTAAAATTATCCACACTTACCACATTTATAACGTCTTCTGAGTTTTCACAGTTCATATCCAGAAATACACCCAATGCAGGTCGAGTATGTAGTAACAAATTATTTCGAAAATCGGTAGTTATATTGACTTTGTCAACATTTATGTATTGAGTGTAAAAACTGTTATCAACGGCCTTGTTAGAAAAGTGTTCGAGCGCTGTTTTAAGAAACATTTTTAATAGTAAAGTATTTTAACAATACAATATTCTTTAAATATTTTATATCAAGAATTAAAATTATAATATAATTATAAATTCACATTATTGAAAATACACAGTACATCAAGATTATCAAGCTATTTGTAATATACTAAAAAAATATCGGAGATCTTAAAAACCATATACATTATCAACCAGCATAACGAAGCCAATTTAACGATATCTATTTGTCTGAATGTATTTCTGTCAGTTTATCATGTTAGATATTATATGTTGTTAAGGTAATCTAATATAACTTTGTATAAATATTTTTTGTGATCCAACCAACACATATATGGAATCTATTAGTGTATATATATCCATATATTAACACAAATATATTATGTTTGACATTGTTTTATTTGTCTTATAGTCTTATAGTTCTTATAGTTTATCTTATAGTTTTGTTTATATATATAAACAAATATGAATATATATATATAAATATATATTAATGTATTTATTTAATTCATCACTTCTTATATGACAGTCCCATAATATAAAGTCTAGAATATAGTAAAAAGTAAGGTGTGAGAGTTATACAAAAGATCGCATAAAATGAATACCAAACATTTTTTACAAAATGTTTCCATAGAGATACAAGTAGGAAGATGGGCTAAGTGTAGTCAAATGAGATTACCAATCTTCACAGATATTTTATAATGGAACTTAAAACAGACATAGGAGTATATCTGGCAAAAATAAAGAAATATGATCTTTATTCTTGTGAACTCGTCTAGTGTCTTTCAAGCATAAGTCTAAGCAAATAAAAACCTATGAAGCCAATGGATTACGATCTTATCGGATAAAAATTCTATCTAACCACAATTAATTTTTTATTTGTTTAAAGTTTTAGCTAATGAAATCATCACACAATAATTTAGTAATATAACAATCAGGGACATATTCAGTAGAAAAATTAATACTGAACTTATTAAATTGTGTTCAAAAGTATATTTATAACTTCTAAAGCATGCTAAGATCCAAGTAGTAAAACTCGTTACGATGTTGGTAGATTACTGGACATTATTTTCTTTTATCATAGTTTGAGAATGTGAAGTGGAATGAAGAAAACGAAGCAGCTATGTACTTCCTTACTACACGTCCAGATCTTGCCAGCAAAATTAAGATATTTCACTCCGGAAACCTACAAACTATCGAGCTTGATATCCCGAATAGATAGAAGTAGCTTTCTTTAAAATCAAATTATTTTAAAAATCTTACTGTTACAAAATGTGTTGGTTGGTGTTGACACTAAGTTGATAGAACAAACCCCTTTGTTATTGGTAAAACCAATCAAACCAGTATAAGTCGAAATCTTAATCAATTTTTGGTTCAACATGAACCTTAACAAATATTATGTGGTATGCCAGTGAATTAGATTGCATTAAATCTTTCCGTCTCAGATCCTATACAAGTATATCTAGGTTATTTGAAGACTGAAATTGAGTTAATTATATTTTGTCTTATAAATATATATTTTTTTTGTATATTTTTAACTTCATATTTAAATTTTATTCACACAAATTTTTTTATAAATTGCGTATAAGCGAATAAATTGCATATATGTATATAAATAAATACAATTTATGTATATTAAAAAATTTAAAAAATTATATAAAACTTTGAATTAAATAACATATATTGTCATAATGTAATATATAATAATTTTGGAAACGATAACTTATTCCATTACAGATATATAATAATTATTTAACCTAATAATAAATAATAGTTCTTACTCTCCAGATTCCAGCAATTGAAGATAGCTATACTGGTTACATGAAATTTCAAAAAATTGTGAAATATCAGATTAACTAAAGGCAAATCAACCGCCATTTTTTCACACTAAGTTCCAACTTCGATATATTATATCTTTCGATATAAAATATCTTTCAGTTTATATAGTTATCACTTTTAATAATTTCATAAATATTTTAGAATATTTGTTAAATAGAACAGTTTAATTGACTAAAAATTGTGCCTTTCAATAAGATTGTTGACATAAAGATTGTTATAAATTTCCTTGTTTACTTTACAAATAAATTGGAATTAAAGAAATTATTAAGAGAAAACTATTGGTTGTAATATCATGATAATATGTTTACGTCACCTGCCCACATCCTTTTTTAAGATTTTTTTTCTACAAATATCAACAATACTGTCAATTTAATTTATTGTCAATCACTGACATTACTTCACTGAGGTTTATATTTGTAATAGCAATTTTTATTCGATTGTCACGTTAACATGTCACAGTATGAATACGTAAATGTCATAGATTGCAAGGCAATTATTATAAACCAGTAATTATCATAACCTGAAAGCACATCCTGTAGAAATACAAGAAAAACCGAAATTATAATTTCAAAATAATAAAACATTCAGAAACTATACGTAATAAGTTATTTAATTGTTTTATGAATTTATTATTTATAATATATAAATATTTAATATATAACAAAAAAAATTAAATATATTATTTATAGCATTATATTTATTTATAGAATCAAATTCTATACACAATCAAACTTCCATAACTCGAACTTCTATAACTTAAATTTTCTATAACTCGAACTGAAGAGAGTGCAACAGGGTTTAACAGGGCATAGTACATACAATTCTGCTTCCATACCTCGAACTTCTATTACTCGAATTTCTCTATAACTCGAATGAAAATATTGTCACGTGCTAATAGGAATGTGGAAAAGTGCATTCTATAAGTCAAATTTTTGTTTGAAGTATGAATCCACTTTGGTGTTAGGGAAAGTCCCTTTTTCCAAACCAAATGTTTAGTTTTTTTTCTTATTTTGCTTTTTTGTGCAAAGGCCAGTCGCTGACAGTGTGGTTTAAAGCAAGTAAAATAACTTCTAATGCTACTGTTAACTATTATATTGAGCTCGACAATGAAATTTATATAAGAGTATCGAGCTTTCCTATAGATGACGATATTATTGAGCATTATTGCTCTGAATTAGTGAATTAGTGAACCCGATTCTAAGCGTAACGGAAAGTGATGATGAGGGTTCGGTGGATGAAATTGTTCATTGACCTTTCAAGAATTAAGTAGAAGATTCATTCTAAAAACTGAATTTTTATTTACAAAGGAATGGTATTTAGAAACGAATGATTCTACTTAATTCTTAGAAGACCAATGAACAATTTGATCCAACTGATGATCATTATAATAGTTGGAATAAATTGGAATCTCTTTTTACTGAAAATAAGAAAAAGAAATTTAAATGACAAACCTTAATATCTAAATATTTCAATTAATTATAACTTCTGTACTGTATTTGATTTCAAATTAATAAATAAATATCTTAAAATACAATTATATTTAATTTTTCAAAAATAAAAAAAAATAAAAAAATTCTCTAACTCAAAGTGTCCATAAGTCGAACCTTTTCTTTGCAAAATAAGTACCAGTTATGGAAGTTTGACTATATTTAATTATAATTTTATTATGTATATTATGTATATTATGTTTATTATTATATATGTATATATTAAACATATAACGATATATATAATGTGTAATTTATATTAGTTCTTATTTTAATATTAAAGTATAATTCCTATAGTATAAAAGCTTACTTATATGGTATTTGTAACAAAAAATTTAAGTAAAACTTAATATATAAATTTTAAAAGTTTTTATGATAAATATTTATTTATTATTTCAAGAAATATAATAACCAAATAAATATTAACTTCATTTAATAATCTTATATCAATATTGCTAAAAAGAAATAAATCACTTCATAAATAATTTCGGAATCATAAATATTTCACACTCAATTTGTTTGTTTAGGTTGAACTCCTTCCTCTCTAATTCAAAAACAAGCAACAAGTGTTTTCTAGCTTACATGGTAGCCACCTAACTTAACCCACAAAGCACGTGCTTATTCTACACAGTGCGCTTGTGCAAGCTAACAGCACTTTTTTCATTTTTATGTGTGGTCTTCCCTCCAATTTTCCTGATTGAAGTAGAATTTTATGAATGAATTTTGCGCTACTACAACTATGGAATACGCAGTGATGTATTGATATGGTAAATATTTCTTTTATTTTTCTCTATTTTTGCTTGCCTTACATAGTATCTACAAGCCTACGGTTGTCTGTCTGAAATATTTCTTTCATTTAAATGCTTTCAGTCTGCCGAAGTGCAAGTGAATTTTAGTGATTTTCAGTAATCGTTATGCGCTTAGCGCGTTTGGACGCTTTTGGCGGAAAATTTTTCTTAACAGAGAGAAAGTTTTTAACAAATTTTAAACGATAAAAATAAGCCGTCGGTAAAGAACAATAAAAATATTAATATAATAATGGATCAGGGCGCTAAAACGTTTCTAAAAAGTTAAATGAATATGTTTTTAAATAAATGTAAAACAATAATTTTATTAATAAAGTTATATTATAACAATATTGTAATATTTGTAATATTGATTTTAATTGGTTTAAAAAATAAATAAATAAATTGTATGTCAATATATATTAATCACAACAAAATAAAATTAAAAAAGATTTAAATAAAAATTTTAAAAATTTTAATATCATAAAAAATTATTTAACATAATCACAGTATAAATAATAACAAAATTAACAAAAATTTTATTTTTAATTAATTAAATTTTTTGACTGACAATTAAAATAGTTCGACTATAGCCAAATATTCATATTCAGTAACTTTTGAAAATATTTATAAATTGCGAAAGTCTGGATATGTTTTTAAGTTTCGAGTACCAGGATTAGAACTTTAAAATTTTCAAACTGGGAGACCTACTTGATCGTGAAGTGGTGAAACTTTGATCAGTGTTTTTAAAAAAATTATTTGAAAATACTACATATTTTTATATTATACAAATATTATATTAAATTTTAAATTGATCAAAGTTTTAAAATTCATAAGTTAAATTATATAATTATTTAAAAAATGTTTTTAGTTTTTAATAATTAAAAAAAAAGAACAATATTTA